GTCGTCCTTTAGGCAGAGATAGTCTGACAGACAGACTCCGATGTCACCAAAGCGCTCCAGACATTCCAGCTCACATGTAGGCTAAAGCCGGGTCTCTAAAAAGGAGCAGAGACATTAACCACTGTCTGGGCAGATGGTTCTCAGGCTGTGAACCAGTACAGTCACAAAGCTGTGTTTCTAATGACAGTGGAGCTCAAACCTGCTTTGAACTTCATCATCACGGTTCCAAACTCTGTGGTTAAAGCTCCCACTGAGGTCTTAAAACCCTCTCAGACGGACAGTTTGGGTTAAACACCTCACTGCACCTGCCACTGTTGTTTTTTTATATTTAGACCCATTTATCTATTTATCTTAATATCTGTCAGTGTCTCTGTTTCTACACTCACTTCATATATGAGTGTTTTATGTATATTTGTTACTATGACAACTCAGTTTCCCTCTGGGATTAATGAATTAAAAATATGTTATTTAAATAAAGTCTCTGACTCTGAATTTTGCTTTTTCTGTTGCTCTTTGATATCTTTGTGTCTGCTTCTCCTTTTGAGACATGATGTATTGAACTGACTTCTTCTCTGATTTCTCTACAGTAGTAATAATGACAGGAGTGAAGGAGGAAGTCAGGTCACGTGGTCACAGAGCCACAATCAGCATATGATGGAGATGACGCTGGAGATTAACACCAGCAAGCACAGACCATCTCCAGCGTTTCAGAAGCTGGAGATGGCGCTGCAAGCTTAACCACATGTGGATTATTAGAGACACGCTCACGGGGGACTGCTGCTTCACTTCAAATCTTCTTCTTTGAACATTTTTCTTTTGTCCAAGTGATTCGTTTAGGCTAAAAACAACTTGTTTACAGCTCAGCTGTGCTTTTAACAGACTGGCGTTAAAACAAATAGGTTATTGTAACACAGATTGTAGCTCTGACCAACCAGCTGTGGACAAAAGGTCACCAATAAAACCAAGTATCATTTATTAGTACAACGATAAAAACGAAAGAATAAAACAGTCCAGTGTCCCACTTCCAAAAGGGAGAAAACACAGAGGCCAAGGCCAGAGCCGGCGATGCCACAAGTCAGTTACACTTCACATGCGCCGCCACCTGTAAGCAGACGGCCAGTCATCACTCAGCAACACAACTC